GAATGGAGAGTTTATCTTATCGGAGAACTGATCGATTGTATAGGTTGCTAACACAATTAACACAGGTTATTAGTATAATACACTTCTTCACATGGCACACATGGTATTCACATGTACAGTCACTAACACCGAATACAGCTTGTAACGCGTGCTTAGCCAAGAGTTGACATACATACATGTAACGTTTGAGGTTTCATATGAATTCATGTAATGATGCATATGATATAAACGTGACACACATATGTAGACACGGTATGTTTCATATGAATACCACAACTAATTAAGAATTCTCTGACATACCTCATTACAAATATCTTCCCATGTGATTGAAATTATGATAGATAACGGATACTTCAGATGAAAAAAGCTTCAGTATATTAGAAGTGACAGCAACTATGAATGAACGTGAAATTTCGACCGGCAGTAAAATAACAAATTTCACAGGTGCATTTGAAGCGACGGTGACAAGTCTCGGCAACACTAATTACCCAAAAAATTCGTCTTTCAGAGTGATTCGAGATTTAGCGAACTCGAAGACGTGCGTGACGGCTATGAGTGACACACGGTTCAAGCCGCGTGTAATTGGACCAAATTCCTCGAGTTCTGTGGTCGTTTATCGTTTACGTGAATTCGCATCTCGGTTTTGTACCTGGCACGCGATTCGCGGGATCCATGCAGACATTCTCAACTTCTTGTGGCTGTTACGTGTTTAATTGCTTTGGATTGTTCTGTGTCGAAGCGAGTCAATGTTCCGACAGTCGAACGCTTTAGATTTTTTGTCACTTTGTTAACAAAAATTTATGTAGGGAAGGGTGATATTTTTATTGAATTATTGGATGATGTGCAAAGGTAGTCTAACTCTAAATTTGGAAATTTAGAAATTTCTTATGTTAATATTTTACATATGAATTTAGACGTTCATGGTACAATTCAGAAACTTAGAACGTTCAATTTTAGATATTTATTTTATCAAGTTTTAAATGTTCAAATTTAGAAGTGTGTGTAGATAAAATTGAGATGTATCAATTTATAAATTTAGAGCTTCAAAAATTTGGAAGTTTAATGATCCACAAAATTTGTATGGAGGTTTACAAGTTTATTAATGTCAATATTTTTTCAATTTTACAACTATAAAAGTTTGGTTTTGTAACCTATAAAAATACATAAACACAAGAATAATTTTGTGAGGTACAAAAACGAAATTTGACAATTTTCACGAATTCATAAATCAAACTTCGTAACTCCGAAACAACTTCACATAATTCGAGCAAGAAAATTTGAAACGTTCAAAAAGCAAAACCTCCGGAAAAGAAAAACTGCGTTCCAATAACGCATCGTTTTTCTAACGGAATAAAAATATCCCCGAGGGTGGTTTCAAAAGAATTCCGATTCGCTCGCAAAAGTCAGCACCTTGTTCTTCGTTGAGTCGCGCTGATCGATTGCTACGTTCGAACAAACGAAACACACACACACACACGTGTCAATTTTTGACAAAAGATCTACGCGAATGTTACGAAGCGTGTACGATCGTGAAACTCGGGGGACGAAAAAAAAAACAAAACTCGTATCAGCCTGGTGGATAAAAGGCACTCGTTAGAGCAACATCGATACGATATTTTTTTCATTTTCAATCGCAATTATTCGCTGGCAATTTATTCCGAGCTACAAATCGATGTCTCGGTTACAAGCCAGACTCGATCGAAAGCTCCGCGAGAATTTTCTACTTTGACCCAATTCGGGTTTCAACGGTTCCAGATCCGCTTTTGCGACTGAATTTTGGTCGAAACGAAGTTGCACGCAACTCTCCACACTTGCTAAGTCTGATTGGTGCCATACCAACGAACAACATTGCTGTCTGTGTTTGTTGAGCTCTGGTGGAGAATTTCGTTTCGGGGAAATTCGATTATTTTACTGGCGGAATTATTTCTTTTGAAACAATTTATAGTCGGATTTGTAGCTATTTCGTGAGAAGTTAGAAATTTTATTTCATTTGAGAGAAATTCGTGGGTGCTTGCGAAAAGAAATTAATTTTAAAAACCTCGTAGTTCACTTTTTGAAATCTATAAACTTGATTTTTCAGAGATAATATTCTGATATGATTAATTTCTAAATTTCCAAATTTGTTGAATGTGTAAATATACTAACGAAAATATCTGCAGTATACAGTGATGGGAGTAAGTTTAATTCTTTGAAATATATTGTGTAACATCGTGTGGGCGAAAAATTTTCAATATCGTAAACTATCTGCAAAATGAATAATGTTAATACAAAATAAAAATTTAAAACAATATAATACGATAAAAAATATAAGTTCAAAATAATATAACAGACTATAAATTAAAACACAGATATTAATAAAAAATATAAATTCGTTACAAAATAAAAAGTTCGTCTGCATAAAAAGACGCTACGACCTTTCATCCACAAGGAAAAAAAATAAAAAATGAATGTTCAAAATTAAAATTCAACGACCATTGCCCCAAACCCGATAAATAATAAAATAACGTCAAGAGTCCGAATATTCCCCGAATACAAATAAATTCGTTTTAATAAAAGAAATACGATCGTTCAGAAGCATAATGCAATCAAACGGAATTCGTTTAAAATAATTGAATCGAGGAAAATGAAAGAATCAGAAACATATGAAATAAGTAGGAAATTCGTTGGAACTTGTGTATTGTGCAATTCGCGTGTAGAACTTAAATTGAACCGTGTTCCATTATTCGGGACTAATTTCGTGTCCATCATTATTAAATGAACGTTCGATCGACGTTTCTGTGTCCAAATAATTCCAGCTAGCGAAATTAGGGTGGTGCTTAAAATTTCACTTCTACATTTCATGGTACCTTAACAATCTTTTTAGTTTGAAACTGGATTTCGATTCTAATTTTGTTATATTTTGGAGTATTTTATGAGAGTTTGGTATTTTAATAATAATTTGGAGCATTTGTGTGTTGACTGATGCTTATAATTAGGAATTTGTATACTATTTATGTTGTAATATTATTTTAGAAGATTTTGTACAGGGTGTTTCACAATTAGGGTAGGTTCCTGAAATGAGGGGTAGCTGACAGTTTCGGTTAACGCGTAGTAATGTAACGCGAGGTAATTCTACCCGTAGCAATGCAACGCGTGGTAATCTAACGCACGGTAATCCAACGCGTAGTAACCCAGCGTGCGAATATCCAACGTGTAGTAATCCAGCGCATGGAAACCTAATGCGTGGTAATCCAACGCGTGGTAATCCAATGCGTGGTTATCCAACGCGTGGTAATGCAACGCGTGGTTATTCCATGCGTGGTAATGCAACGTTTGGTTATTCCACGCGTGGTAATGCAACGCGTGGTAATTCTACGCGTAGCAATGCAACGCGTGGTAATCCAACGCATGGTAATCCAACGCGTAGTAATCCAACGCGTAGTAACCCAGCGTGCGGATATACAACGTGTAGTAATCCAGCGCGTGGATATTCAACGCGTAGTAATCCAACGCGCAGTAATGCAACGCGTGGTAATTCTACGCGTTGGAATCTAACGCGTGGTAACCTAACACGTAGGTAATCAACGCGTAGTAATCCAGCGCGTGGTAATTCTACGCGTAGTAATGCAACGCGTGGTAATCTAACGCAC